TACAAAAAGGTGAACATATTCGTTACCTAGGTTCAATTATTAATAACGTTGGAGATGATGTGATCTATAAAATTAAAGTAGACTAACTCAAGTAGAGTAGTGCTTTTTTGGTATTATGTGATTGATGAATACCAACAAATTTGAAAAGAAAATTTTATAGAACAACTGTAAGCCCAAAGATTCTTTGCGGGATAGGATACTGGTCAACTAAGAAACTACATATTCATAAAGTGAGTATAGTTAAGATGAGGATGTTTAGATGTATATATGGTAAGATTAGAAAAGACAAAATTAAAAATGAATATATTTGTGAAATGGTAGGAGTAGCTCTATTGAAGTTAAGTTGAGAGAGAGAACAAACTTTGATGGTTTGGTTATGTGCAACGAAAACTTGTAGATGCAACGGTGAGGAAGAGTGATATGATCATCATAAATGAAAATTTAGGGGGAAGGCAAGACTTGAAATGAGATAGAATGCGGTATTAAAAAAGGATGTGAATTTATTTAATTTAATTGATCATATAATTCTTGATTGAGTCGAATGAAGAAAAATGATTTATATAGTTGACCCCACTTGATTGGAATACAAGGCTTTTTTTTTTTTTAGGTTTGTGTGTGTGTGTGATTATTAGAAGCCATTATGACTCCTCAAGCTAGGTGGTGTCAGCTCCTACCACTTTGTGGCTTAGGAAGCTATATTAAGGATGGATCAGCAGTGTAACTCCCCACTATCTTGCTAGTCTTGTCTACATTGTTTGTGCGCAGTCTTGTCTACTTGTCTCTGTAGAAATATATGTATTATTGATTGATGAATATTGTTATATCTGTCTATTACAAATGGTTCCTTATATAGATGTAGGTGTAGTGGAGTAGGTGGTGGCAGGTGAGGAGTAGGTGAGTGTAGTAGGTGAGTGTGTGGTAGGTGATGGTAAGTGTGTGGTAGGTGATGGTAAATTTTAACAGTCTCACCCTGTGACACCTAGTTAAGCTCAAACTTGTTATGTCAATCTTTGGCCAAGCATGGGCTTATCCTAGCTCAAGCATGTTTGCACCACTAGATAAAATAAAGAAGCCCTAGTCTCAATCAAACATTGTCACTCATGTAAACAATATGCACATATGTATGTTTGTGTATGTATATATTATGGAGAGATGTACAAAAATGTACACATTTGTATGTTAACCTTAGATGAAAGTCACAAAGATGCATTTAGTGTACTCCTCAAATCCATGTCATAGATCTACCTTTAAATGTGAGGAATTGAAACGAAATCTATAGATTTTAAACCATAAATAATGAGATTTGGAAAATGAAGGTTGCCATAACTTAATTTTGATTTTCATCTATGGTACAAATTGTAGACATAACGGTAAGTGAGTTTGACGGAGAAGATGATGAAGGTGTAACTCTATAGATTGCAAAGGGAATTGGCAATGGAATATACCCATTTTAGGAAGAGAAAAGGATAACACTATAGTGGTTTTTGTTCCATCCTGGGAAGCAAGAAGCAGACATAGGACATATATAGACACTATATGGACATGTCATGAGATATGATGACAAATAATATATATATATATAAATATATACATGAAAATAATAAATTGTTCATGTTACAAGCATATTTATATTTTACCATATCAATATACGAAGAAATCATTTTTCACATTTTATATGTTTGTGAAGAAATGCGGATAGGAAGTCTTGATATCTATTTCCAAACAAATTGAAATTTTTATATTTTAGGTTTCTAAATTTAACGAGTTTAAAAGAGGACAGATGAATAGATATAAATCCATATATTTTAATCATCGCCTCTGAAGTTATTATCTTAAAACATCCGTAAAGGCCCATGTGTTTCATCATTTTTTGCATGTCTAGGCAATAGACACGTTACATGACCTCCAAGTGTACAAAGCATGTTTGATTTTAGAAAGGAAAAAAAATAGTAGGATTTTTTTGGATGTGTGGCTGACACATGTCAGGATGTGTCTCACAAGTGTCAGAGTCCAATATTTGTCCATGTTGGACACCACACCTTCTAGGAAGTATTTGTTCTTCGTAGTGTCCATCTAAACTTGTGTAGGTGTCAGTTTGACTCAATGGAATTATTATATATTTTGCTTGATTTTCTTACTCAGGTTCTTATGTTGGTTGAATTTTAGAAGACATTTTAGTATGTGATAACATTGTAAATGCCGCATTATCCATGTTCAGTTCATGAACATAGGCTATCCTAACCAAGCCAAGGGCTACTCGAGCTCAGCTTCTTCATTAAAGGAGCTCTAGAAGGATGTTCAATATTGACTTATTTAAACAGGGAAGGAACTTGAATGACCTTGTTAGTGAACCGAGCCCAAGTTGAAGCTGGTCAAAAGTAACAAGGCTCAATTGTAGCCCTATTAGACCTGCCAAATTGTTAATTTTCATCTCTCAATTGAATAAATCCTATTACTTATTAGTGCTTGTTTCTATAAAAGCTTGTCCTTTTCATACCTTTTCAGGCACACCTAAATCATTTAAAGATGGTTGTCCTATTAATTTTGGAATCTTCTCTAATTGTTTTATTAGAATTATAGCTAGATTTTAAATCATGATTGCAGCTGCTATTGTGGTCATGTTTCAAAGCCGAAGACGTATATAATGGACGTAGTGAGACTTTGACATGGGAGCTGTGAATTCTTATTGGTTGCACAGCCCTGCTAGACATCAGTGATAAGCATGTTTTAAGCTTTGAATTCCATAAAATTGGTTTTGTATGATTCCAATGAATTTAGTTATGATATTCATTATTACTTAATTGAGAATACTTTGTCATAATTTGGTATATGTAATTACTAGAGAATATTAAATTAGTAAACAAACAATAACTACTTAATATAAATAATTAAGACAAACATTAATGTATAATATGAAAAAATAAAAAATAAAACCCATAATTACGATGAATTTAACACTAATGAGGCAAAAAGAGAAACAAGAAAAGGGTGCAATTTAGGGAAGTGTGTGCCTTTACCTTAGTATTGGAATACGTAACAAGCCTCCATTGATTTGATTTAAGAGCTAAGCTTAGAAATGGCTTGAGAGCTTAGAAAGCTGGAACTTCCCCAAACAAGGTGAGGAAATTGCTAGATCTGTCCTTTCAAAGAATTACTGCTTGACAGCAGCTTTAACCTTTGGTCCACTCTTAAGGCTATGTTGCATTGCCTATACAGTTACGATTTAGATTAGGTTTTCTATTGCAGATTTTAATGGGTTTGGGACCTTGCAAGGTGTTATGTAAAGTTTGCAGATGATATTCATGTGAGAATATTAGGTTGTTTGTGTGAATATTCTTTGAATTATTCTTGTTACCTATTTTAGTCTTAGTCCTAGAGTTGCTATTTAAATCAGATGTACTCTTTGTATTTTATACAATTGAATATACTTTATTCATTCAGAAATCTTACAATTCAAACCAAGATTTATGGGCACGAGTAATAATGGTGTATAAGGCTTGATTTTCTTGCCGTTGATAATATTTTACAAGCCTTCTTGCTTTAGAAATTAGTTGATGCATGCCATAAACAGTTCAAGAAAAAAATAAATACAAAGAGGCATAAAAAATCAAGAAGTGGCTTTTGGGATTTAGCATCATGAGTTTGTGTCAAAAGATTTCCTACCTTCAACCTAATTTACAGCCTTAATGTATTTATCCTTCTACCATCCAACTATAAAACACAAACATAGACTAAACCAGTACCTAATTACTATTTTTGGGTACTGTTCACGTGCCTAGAACAACCCCTTGACAGCCTCTTAAATCCTATCCTTTTACTCCCAAAACCCTACTCTTATATTACCTCATACAAACCCCAAATCTCTATAACTTGCTACTTCTACAGCCTCATAAGTGATTAATTGCAAACCTAAAACTAGAGCCATTTGTTGCTGCTATATATTATTTTGGGTAACTCATAGGAGAGTGGTCCTTGCACTCATCCCGCATCATTAGTATTATTTTTATTTTTTGGGTGGATCATGTTGTGTGTCCCAAATAATTGCATATGCATACTTTATGACATTACTTAATCCTATCCTGTGGACCACATGATGTTATCTCTTCATAAGAATTTCCCCTGGATATAGTATCATATTAATTGTGAAATTAGATTTATGGTTGATATTTCTTTTACACTTTTTCAGTTCTACAACATTCCTTTTATTGCGATATCATGTCTTCTTAATCTGATATGAAGTTTGCTTTACATAATTATACAAAGGGAGACTTATTAGGAAATCATTTTTCAAGTACTTGTATCCCAATTAATCTATAACATATTCTTGTATTCCAATAAGTTCTATTTTTTGGACATTTGATCCACCAAATCGTTATTCTCATATTTAAGATATTTTATGGACAATTTTACTCTTACAAATATTTTTTGAACGCTTGGCGACTTGGTGATGTAAACATTCATATTTGAAAGTGTGAATGTTCAAATTGACAGTGTGAACGTTCCCATCACGGAACATTTACACTATCAATCTAAATATTATTCCAATAAGTTCTATCATTTGGACATTTGATCCACCAATCCTTATTCTCATATTTAAGATATTTTATGGACAATTTTACTCTTACAAATATTTTTTGAATGCTTGGCAACTTGGTGATGTAAACATTCATATTTGAAAGTGTGAATGTTCAAATTGACAGTGTGAACGTTCCCATCACGGAACATTTACACTGTCAATATGAATATTGTTATTAAGGGTATGTTGGTAACTATGTCACACATAGGACTTATTGGAATATAAGAAAATAATTTGGACTAAGTAGAATATAAGTAGGTGAATAGGGATTTATGAATAAATGCCCTTTATACAAAATGCTACAGTGGATAAAATAAATTTCAGTGTAAGATAAAGTTACGAATTTAACTTCAAATGCATATAAGTTTCCTTGTTACATAGAGCTTCTGCCAATTTAACTTCTAATGTAGGTTATGTTAAACAGGATAGGACCATCTAAGGACATTGGAAAGTGAAGCAGGAATATTGTGGTATAAGTTCAGAAAGAGAAAGGAGATCAGCGAACTAAACACTGAAGAATAAGACATGGCTCCTGGAGGAAGTGTCTACCAAGATGTTCTTGAGTCTCGCACTGCATTTGCTGATTATGGTATAGCACCTACAGAAATGGAATTCAGAAATTCTACTTTCAGAAAATCGGCTTCTGTTGGTGGTGGGAAGGTTGGTGGAATGGCATCAAATAGTGCCGTACATGAGCTACTTGAATGCCCTGTTTGCCTAAATCTAATGTACCCTCCCATTCATCAGGTACATCCTTGAACATTTGAGACTGATAAACTGAGAATGCTTGAGATTTTATATTGTTAAGCAAACTTTATATATTTACTTTAATGATTTGATATAGCCATGCAAATTGAGTAACTAGGATTTAAGACGTCATTGGGTGTTTGACATGTCCGGACAAATAATGTCAGCTATCAAGATTGATGCCTAGTGGCAGTGTTGATGTATTGTAAAATGTAATGTCAAAGGCCTTTTATATAATGCATAAAATTTGTAAATAATTATTTATTGCCAATAATAGAACAGAATATTTTATGTAGTTGAAGGATATCATAAAGGGAAGGCCAATGAATGAGGCTCCTGCTACTGTGGGGTCTGGAAATGATATCATAATTCAGTTAAACAGAAAATTTTGAATAAATTTTACTTCATTTTATGTTGGGTGGAATTCCTTTGTTTTATTTCTTATTTATTTTTTTCCTACATTTTATACCAACCTTTCAATTGTCCTTTTCTTTTGTGCGGTGGTGGGTGGGGACAGTGCATGCATGTGTTCTCATTTCTCACTGCAGAATTAAATTAACCACAGAAACAAATTTTGAAAATCTACAAAATTATCCGAATAGTTCCAACAAATTATTAAATCCCAAACTTATCCTGTTTATTTTAGAAACAGTGAAATTATTTCCAAGTATTCTAAATATTACAAACCATCCATTACTTCTCCCAACATTGTAAGATCCATTACAATTATCGAACAGGAAATTATTTTATTAAGCTTCTTGAAGTAAATTGCTTTCTTGCTAAATAACTCCTGAATTACAAATTGTTTTACAAAAATGACAAGAAAACAATATCAGTTATGTTTGTGTATCCCATTGGTACTTATTTTTACACTAGTCACACTACAAAGCGCATATGATCTTCATGTTCAAAATGATCAAGGTGTCCTGAAAATAAATACTCTGATTAATGATTCCCTATGGGCATACATTTTCTGTATATATAATAATTTCATTATGTTTCATAATATGATGAAATATATGTATACTGTAATGCAAAAATAACATGAATATATATTTTACTCACCTACACTTGCAAACTTTGTACAAAAAATTATCACGGTGAATGCTGATGAGCATGTAGATATTTTAGATACTCTCATATTTGGTTTGGTAATTGGAAGAGATATCTTCACTGTGCTTGAGCCCAAGTTCCTTCACTTATATAATATGTAGTCATTGTAAACAGAATGCATGTCCTTTGTGTCTTGATCATGCATAGGTTGTGCATGATGCAAGATAACTTTGGGCAACAACTATTTTATGGAATTTTTAGTGTGAATTTAGTGGCAAAAGGGTAGAGGAACAGGTTGTGGACGATTTGAACTAGATTGGCTAAGGTTTATGGCCTGAAAATGGTGTTGTTCTATGGTAGTAAACAATAGCCCCGATAATAGTAACCTGCTTATGAGCATGAAAGGGAAGAAAAGAGGGAAATAGATGTTTCACCCTCACAAGGTGATGGTGCAGCCCTTAACTGGTTGGAATCCAACTATCAGATTTGGAAGTCTAGGGTGAAGCCCATGGGCCCAAAGATTTTTTGGTCTCATAAATGTAATTGGTAGCCTATTATAATTATTCAGTGAGATTTACTTAAATAAAAAAAAATAGCAAGAGATGGTTGATTTTGTTTCCTATTTGAGTTAGGTTTCTTTTTGGTTATAAATTATAGGATTTGCATTGTAATACTCAGTTTTGAGAATAATAGTTTGAGAGGTTTTTGGCTGTGGCTGTTGTTGAGTTCTCCCTCTCTTCTCTCTATCTTACCCTACATCAATTTGGTATCAAAGCTAAATCTCCATTCACTGTTCTCCATCTCTCTTCCTTGCCCGATCACCGTCTCCTCCAAAAATAAAATAAAAATAAAATCCATCATCCTACCTCAATTCCCATTGTTTTTGCTGCCCACCGTTGAAGTGTTAATGAAATTTATCACCAGCCTCTCCATCGCAACCTGGAATTTTGAAGCAAGCCTGCGACGAAACTCTGGGTTTGAAATCTTCATGTCATAGACTGTCTTCTGTTCCCTCCCACTGTTTCGTGTTGAGCTGCAAGCACCACTGCCACCCATATTGCTGGGGAAACCCTTTGTTGGTTGGAGTCAGAGCCCGAACCGTAAAACAAGGGGCTATCTGGGTCAATCCAATTTGTCATTGATCCTTTCCTAGTGTCGCCACCCTATCGTCGTCGCCTTTCACCGTTAGCATTGTCTTCTCCCTCGCACTCCATCATTGAAGTCGATTTCTGGGTAGACTATTGGAGCCAGGTAACCCACAAACCCAAATCAAATCCCAACCCATCTATAAACTTAACCCGACCCAAGGAAAAATCCAGACCCAAGTCTATTTAACCAAGACCTGATCTGTTTAACCCAATAACCCAAACCAGGTTTTATAAAACCCTAACCCATTACCCTTAAACCTGATCCACCTATCCTTAAGACCCAACACAGCAATTCAACCACCTTATACAGCCTTATCCTGACCTCCAAGCCCATTAAATAAATACCCAGCCAAAATCAATAACACGAGCCATATAATAAACCCAAAACAAGTCTATACCTCTGAACCACTTAAATCCAAGGCAAGCAATCTATTAACAATGCCAAAATCCCTTAAAACCTTATCCAGCCCATTTACCTCAGCCCAAACAGTCAGTGCAGCCCAAACTCAGCCCACATATTTTAGAAACTCAGCCTAGAAACAACTTAAACTGAACCAGCTCATTAAGCCTAACCCTTCCATCCTGTAACCTCACCAAACTACACTTAAATTCAGCGAACCCAACTAACCCATAAACCAGCTAACCAAGTGTCACGACCCCGCCCCGCCCTGCCCCAAACAGGATAGCAGTAGTGACCGGCCAGTAGTGCCTGACTATTGAAGGCCTAGCAAGACAAGGCAAGACAAGACTGGACTAAAAACATTAGAGCATATGCGGAACCATTTGTCCATTAATTACCAAGAGTCCAATCAGAGCATGAACATAAGTCATATGAAAATAAAACAAGCAAGCTTCTCATTTTATTTACTTTGACATTTACAAGTCCAAACAACACAAAAAGAAAAGTGCAACATTTACAACATACTCTTAACAAAAAGCAAAACATATATACAAGGCACAAAACAAAAAGAAAAAGACTTTTGGCTTGACCTTTTTTCTCTAACTTGTTCTTCATCATCACCTACATACATAGGGAAGGGGGGTGGGCCCCAAAGCCCAGTGAATAGTAATACAATAAAGTGGTAAATGAATGAACACCGATAAATTTTATTAAAACCAAGCACAAGATCATTTCAAACATAATATAACTTTGTCGAGACAACAAGTTTAACTTACAAGCATATACATAGCGATGAACATTCCAAGACTTTCGAATCAAGAGTCCACAAAAGGTGGCAAGAGGAGCTCAGTTACCTAGAGATTATTGGCATGATTCCTAATAACAAACATGATCCAAGATGTCATTTTAATACATGATGCAAGGGTATAGGATGTTCATTCATAGTAGAACAATGTCATAACTTCCTTAAATACATCATAGGTTTGCATTTTGAATCATAGTTTTAACAAACATAATTTTACTACACTACTACTCACAAATGGCTCATTGAACACTAGGTATTCTCTTTTGAAGCTCGACCTATACGAAACAAGAACAAAGTATTGAAGTGCTAAACAAACTCATACAAACATGACAATTTGAGTGTCTAAACTTAGCTAAGTGTTTTCCTTAGATTTCTTTCATGTTTTTAGTGTTGTTCTAGGTCTAGTTCAAGTCTCAACTAGGTGTCAAAGGCGTACAAGGAGTGTCTTATGTGAGAGAGGGTTATAAAACCGACTTGTGCACAAAACAGGGCATTTCCGCACGTGCGGGGCTCAATCCGCATGTGCGGGCCGCACATGCCTTTTTTTCATAACTAAATTTGTGATTTATCTGGCCGCATGTCCGGGAATCACTTCCGCACTTGCAGAAGTGGATGACTTGCTTAGTTCGAAAATTCCTTCTTGTTCTAAGTTTCCTCCTTTCAAGTTCTAAGCTAGGGGTTCATACAAACTCAATCTAAATCATGCAAATTTGATAACAAACACGAAAGTATGATCATTTTCCAAATCATTAGCATCAAAACTTAGTTTGATTTCAAGATTAAAGGCTATAACTACAAGTTTTGTTAAGAATTTGAGGAATTCAATCTTTTTCCAAAACCTTTCTTTATCTTTGTTTCAAATCACAAACTTGAATGGTAAAACTATTGAAAATCAAAAGAACATATGAAGATGAAAGTTTAAATGCATCACGAACATCAAAAACCAATTCAACGTGATGAAGTTCTAGGTCTCCTACCTACTTCTACAATCTAACCAACGCTTCCTCATTCTTTCCTTCAATTCTTCCTTGTTAATCCAAATTGATCCTAACGTTTTCTTGATTTTAGATGCTAGGAGGGTTTACTACAAGAATTGAGATTAAAATCTTACCTTAGTTTTATTGAGGGATGAGTTTTGGTGTTCTTGGATGTCCCCTCTTTTCTCTCTTCTTTCTTTTCTTTTCTTGCTTTTTCTCTTTTTCTCTAGCCCTTTCTCCTCTTTTCCAGCAGATTTTCTTTCTTCTTTGATTTGGTTTGGCTTTTATAAGGTAAGGTAGGACAAAGACTAAATTGGGACAAAAAGGGGGGAGGTGTATGTATGCTTCATCAAATTATCTAATTTTTGTTTGCTTAGCTTAACTAATCTTGCTTATTTAACTTAGTTAACTAAGTTTTGTACTAATTAATCTAGGTTTAACTTCATCACACTTAACTTAGTTAATCCTGATTAAGGCTCACTAATCATACTTAATTAACACTAATCCTAATTAGCAAAAATTCATATAGCATGAAATGGGCAAGCGTATTATACCAGGATCTTTAAGCTCCTCAATTAGTGCAATAGCACATCCTATGATTTTCAAATCAAGTCTAA